TTCAGTGGGTGGTGACTGGGTGCAACGGGTGCTGGACAGTATCGGCATGTTTGTTGCAACTCGATCGCACGGGGCCGGGGTTGAGTCCTTGTGCCGTGGTGGTGGAGCCCCTCCCAGTGGGTGGTGACTAGATGCAACGGGTGCTGGGCGTTGTGCAGTTGTTTGGTTGATCGCCAGATCTGGCGGCCGGGCCAACACGTGAGGGGGCTGGCTCTGGCTGGGCCTGTGGCGGAGACGCGGGAGGCGGACTGGTGTGGTGGCGTTGCTTGTCTGTCGGTGGCCGAGGCAGCTCGTCTCCAGTGAAAGCTTCCACTTTTCTCTTCCGTGAGCTCATTTGCTATTCATCTCTGTACTAATCAATATGGCAAATTAGACGCGGCCTTCCGTGAGCTCATATTTGTAGCATAGAGATTCATCTATATATGTACGAATCAACATGGAAAATTTAGCCGCGACCTTTCGGTTAGGCTGCGCACACTGGCACCAGTTCTTTTTGTATCTTCAGATCGACTCTGTCTTTTGGATTTTGCCCACAGCCGTCGGCATGTCTCCACGTTGCTCCGCTCGAGGTTGGAGCTCCTCAGCACATGGCGCCAACGACCAGCAGCTCTGGCCGCCTCCGCTCCACGCGGACGCGGCTCGCCTGCTGCACCCCCAGGACCCTGCCATGGAGGCATGGACGAGCCCGACGTGCCTCTACTCCAGCTTCCCTTCTCACGCCTCCCGTCTAAGGCCCCCCAAGATCGATTCAGAGCGCGCTCTCCCTCCTGCGTCCGCTTGCAGGTAGCACCACTACGCCCGGAAGCTCCGACGTCAGCCAGAGAAGCAGCTCCGCCGCGTCCCGCAGTTCGGCCGGAGAAGCAGGCTAAGTAAAGCATCGCGGGTTGATTTCTAACAAAAGCAGGGGGTTTTGTGTAAAAACAAAACGTTTTCTCAGTTATTCACTTAAAAAGGACTGCGGGTTGAATTCTCAGAAACAGAGGGACTTTTCTGCATAAATGACAATGACGTACGACAAGAAACGATCGCCGCTTTATTATTAGGTATAGATATAGATATAGATAAAGATAAAGACTAGAGCATAGCTTGTTGAGATGCGCATCGACATGGTTGGGAAGCACATTAGTCACATCGAGATGACTAAATCATAGGTAGTTGGGATGCTCATTAGTGCATTATTTGCAATACTTAATCTTCATCCGGCGGACTCATAGACATCAGTGAGGTTCTCCTCATATCGAGATGTCTGAGTGAGTTTGTATCATCTCCTTGATTGTTTGAGCACCACGCATTCCTTCCATCTGAAAAATATAATTAGATTATACTAAATGATATAAATGGCTGCTAATATTGGCACAAAATATTGTCAAAGTATGTGCATACAAAGATTTGTGCATATTATAACTCCCCCAAAAAGTATAGTTACCAAAAAATACCTGATCATGCACGGTACACATGTCCTCGTGTGAGAGAACACATCGTGAGTGTCAGGGCAGCGATCCCTGATTTTGGGAGATGGCTGGGCATGAGAGATGGAGTGAACAGAACACTATGAAAAAAATCTATGGGCTGAACTACATATACAGACCCAATAACAAGAGAAACGTCGGGATATAGTTTGGGCAGCTGCAGCCCTAGCCTGACTGACTTTTCCTACTGCGCGAACATTAGGCTCAGTCCGGACTCTCTTTCAAATTGAAGCTTCGCCAAAACAACCTTGCCAAAATCACATCCCAAATGTTGGAGTTGTCTCGAATATAGTCTACAAGCTAGGTTGCAGTTGGACTTGGAGTCGTATTGTGTGTGGATAGCGTATGAAGTCGTGTCCTACTATGACAGTTGTATCCTAGTCCTTTTTATAATATGAGGATAGACACACAATGTAACTTATACCAACATAATAGCACATATACAAGGGAAAGCCGGCGGCATGTGCTAGCGACTAGGTGGCCGACGTGCGGTGTGAACTTCGTGCAATGGTGTTGCCCAGGCTGGCTGGTTGGTGTGTTGGATTTCTTTGTTGGAGGCTAGAGGCGCCGTGCGAGACAGATAGCCACACGTGAGATATGTTTGTTGTTTGCAGGTTTTTTGTCAAAGATTGCTGAGAGGGCTCAAAGATGATATGAAGTGGAGGACATTGTGTCGTACAAGATCATGCATACACAGGCTGTTCAAGATATGCAGGGATGTGCGAGCAGTCATAGTGCAGGGTGGGTCGAACAAATTCGGTTGGGTCGGACTAGAAAGTTTGACGGATTGGCATGAGTCAGTCAGTATAGAAGGCGGCGGTGGGATCGACGACGATGACATAGGAGTGTGATGTTGATGGTGACTGACTTCTGGGGCATGGAAACACGTGGCACATGCCTGAGGGCTTGTGTGGCTTTGACAAGACTATCGCGCGGGGTTGATTCGAGGTGGTGTACACACGAAATTTGAAGTTGACGGTGCGCGAGGGTGGACTGGTCATCTATCATGGATTCATGTTGAAGGTGGAGATGGAGTCTGATGAAAGATTTCACTCGGTGCTAATTGGCTACATTGTTAGGATCCGGAGAATCGAAGCCTATTTCAGCCAAAAAAGGTGAGTGATACATGGTTCGGAGTCAAGCCCAATGGTTTGATGAATACTGAAACTCATGATCGATCGGTGGTCATCGGTGGTACTCTGTGGCGGGGTTGAGTGGTGTGGGTTTGTGGCCCTGGAGACTCGACTGGGGTAGCAGAGCCTCGACGCAGTAATAGCGGCATGGTGTGAGGTAAGGACGTGACATGGAGACGGGTCAGGGCTCCGGTGGTCATACATGTTGTGAGACAAATGTGAATTTGACTTAGATGACTACAATCAATGGTGAAATTCTTTCAGGTTTCAGCTAGGCGGTCAAGAAAGAGCGGTGATGTTGAGTTCACATAACACTTATATGTGACACCTTATAAGTGGGTAGTTAACTTTCACGCAGATCGATGATTGGTGTGTGATGGCGTTGAATGGATACTCCGAAAGTTGAGAGCACAAACTAGAGTAAAGATGAACTTAATTTTTCTCAAGTGTTATTGTGATCAAGAAAAAAGGGACTATCGTTGCAGGTGGAGTCACATGGAGTCTGGGTATAGCAACGGTACTGATGGGATAAACTCAAGTCCAATGTATATGAAAGTTTGACACAGACGAATTCAAGGTGGTGGAGAATATTCATAAAGTTTGAGTTTGTTGGAGTTGTGTTGAATATTATGTATAGGTAAGTTATAGTTGGACATGAAGTCGTATTATGTGTAGACAAGGTATATAGTCGTGTCCTAGTAGGACACTTGTATTCTAGGACTCTTATATAATATGGGGGTAGACACACGATGTAACCTATCAAACACAATAGAATAGACACGCGGGGGGTGGCGTGTGTTGGCTCCCTGGTGGACGGTGTGCGGTGTTGTCACTATGTAGTTGGGAGGAGCACCCGTAGTCATGTCCTGAGAATGTAGCCGAGTTCAGTGAACCTCGTTAACGAATCTCAATATCATGTGTCGTGTGATTTCTTGGTCCTCGGATGATCGATGATGGCCTCAGATTAATTCTAACACAAAATAGCCTTAGTGAACCACGACCTAATTCATGATATAGATCTCCCATTTTTTTCTTTCAGAGAAAAATCATTCCCAGAGAGCACTAGCAAGCACATGTGTTCACAAGCGTAAGTCAAGTCACACATATGTCTAACAAGTTGTCATGCAAGGATATACGACCACGATATACACTCATATAAACTCACAACATGATCAAGCATAATTGACAAATATATCAGACAATGATCTGGCTTTACTGATTCATAAAGGAAGGTATGGTATTTTGAAAAACATATAATAAACATAAAAAATAAGATCCCCAATAAAAGCCAAAAGCCCTATAAATGTTCTAGGCCGACATTTATTTCGTTCTCCTCATCTTGATGTTTCTCCATGTACCCAATGATGTGCAAAATGCCAAACCAGTAAGCTAGACTAACCTCATACGTTTAGAAGAGTCGGGCACCTCAAAGATGAGATAACCTAAAATAGTTTGATGGGCCATGCCGGACACACACACCTTACAAGGCAGATTGATAAACCAATCCTCATTTTCCTAATTGATGATGAAGATGGTCAAAATCATAAAACGACGAGTCCTGAGAACCATTGGCTCCATAGAGTAGAGCATGATTGTGTTGCTAGGAGAGGGACAAAACGCAGAGGCTTCTATTCCATATGACATTGTTTCAACCGCAAAGAACACAAACTCCAAACAAAGAACGTATCAGAACTAAACAATGAATGAAGATTAGTTCCCTTGGCTCTTGCTGCTAGATCGGGTATCAAAGATGAGAGGAACTTGGGGAGATTCAAGGAGCGAATGATACTTTTTCAGTGGTTATTGTTTATTCTTGGCATCCTGTTAGGATGATGGGTGAAATAATTAATTTTTGGAAATTATTTCATGGTAAATCTATTTTGCTTTTTTTATAAAAAAAACTATCCATGAAACCTGCAACTCATTCCTAAAAATTATATTAATTTTCTTTCCATAATGGTTTTTTAAAACAACTAATGCCTAGTGCCTATAAAACATGATGTATATCTAGTACATACACGTTTGTTCATCTTAGTCGTCCAATGACAAAGGAAAAAAATAAGAACATAGGAAAATTGAATGATTTGTAGACAAATAGAAGACGGGAAGTATAGTAGAAAATAACTCTTTAGTATACCAGTTCATTGGGAATCCAACATACACTTGATGCCATTCACGTGGTGACATCCCTCAAAGAAATCAAGAGTAAGTGAGAGGAAGAGATGGGAGAAATTATTTTTGTTAGTGAAATTTGAAGAAGAGTAAGTGAGAGGAAGAGATGGGAGAAATTATTTTCGTTCATGTAATTTAAAGAACGATAGGAGACAATAATTGGTTGGTAAATGCTTAAAACAATGGTGGTTACCTCAATGAACATGTTATGGATGATGCCACTAGCCACGGCAGTGATGCTTGTCGAGATCACCTTGAGACAGAGCGACTCGAGTGCCTCGCACACCTTTGCAATGGCGTTGTGGGCATTGCCATGTCTCATGCTCACCATTGTCAACTCCTCTGCTACCTGCGTCACCTCCAGCTGCAGAACTCGTAACCATGTGGTTATTCAATTATATGTTTTGTGATAGTGTTGTTGCATAGAGTTTCCCTAAAGGTATTCATATACGCTCTACTATCTCAGAAATGTTTTATTTTCTAATAGATGTTTCACACATAAAAAAATATCTAGATAGAACTAACCAACCAACCCACCCATCCCCCACTTATATATTTAAATTGTTCTACAAGTTTGTCACATTTTCATCAGAAACACCTGCACTACATTAAAAATCAATTATAGTCTGGTTTACATATTTTAGACTTGGCATACCAAACCATCTTATATATCTAAGACTAGAAAAGGACAATAAGCATGTGGTTGTCTGAGATAAGATGGTCAGCATCAACCGATGGAACACTAGATGTAACCATGACGTACACTAATCCCCAGTGAGTGCCACTTGAAACTCAATATTCAACGGAGCCGAAGCAAGAAGAACTTTTTCCCGGCGTACGATATTATATAAGCTTAGATATTGGAGACTAAGCAGCTTATCTCCTACAAGGTATCATTTGAAGATATTGTGTTGAGGCATGTTTTTTTCTCATAAACTCTTGCCAAACTCATCCCTGATTAAGCACCTTGAACAACAACCTAATGAGTAAACACATGATATTACTTTCAAGGTCCTCAAACCTCAGAAACCCCAGGTCCTTCATTCGACATAGAATATCTCACTTAGCTAATCATTATTTCTGTCTATGCTCGTCACATCCCTAGGGACATGTAATAATACATTATTTCACTTACTCCATTGGGCATTTGAAAGAAGGATAGCATAAGCATCGATAATTAGTGAGTACCATATTGATGAGGATAAACGAAACACAAGTGGTTTTTAATGGTCTGGGTATGTCATAGCGAAAAAATCTTCGCTTGCGTGGACCCTGAGATTAGTTCACTCGCCCCGTATAGAAGTGTGATTCATTTTCCCGATTGAATACATAGCAATACATCCTTACAGCTTTCTGACTTATACAAGAAACAATTTTGACATGTGTAAATTGTCAAAAATATCAAAGGAAGTAGGCTTGGTCACAAGATGGTACATCCGTATGGAGACAACAATCCATTCTTTCTCCTCCCTAACTCAACAAATCCATTCCTTCTATTTTATATATGATAAATCCAATCATTCATACCTTTTAAACTATAATTTTGTTTGTGTATTTTTTATATATTTGTAATTCTAGCAATAAGATCTTTAGATCAAGGTTAATCTTGGATATAGTCCATAATACACGCTAATTACATTGATTCAACAAATACTTTTGTAAATAGAGTTTCAAATTATGTGAAACAAAGTGATATGTAAAATATAAATATTTGAAATTTTCAAAAGAATGGAAATGAGTTTTTGAGATCATTGAAAACAGTTTTTAGCAAATGTGTGAATTAGTTTTATGAAATAATTAAGAAAATTCTTTTGAAATAGTGAAACGGGTAATTGCAAATATGTGAATCTAATTACTTGAAGTTTGGAATTGATTAATTCGAATATATTAGACTTTTAAAATATACTTCCTTTTATACAAAATAATTGAAGTTCTACATTTGTTCTAATTCAAACTTGCTTATGTATAACCAAAACTATAGAAAGATGTGCTATAATCTACAACATGAGATACACATCATACAAAAATATATTTCATGAAGAATCTCATGAGACTAATTTCATGTTCTGGATAAAGATATATTTTTCCATAGAATTGACCAAACATAAGAAAATTTGACTTATGAAAAACTGAGGACTTCAATTATTTTGAACGGATGTAGTATTAAACATATTTCTATGCAATTTCTTGAAATATTTGAAATGATTTATTGAAATCACTAATTCCAATGTGTGAAATTGATTATTTCAAATATAAGAAACCAATGTTTTCCAAATACATGAAAGATGCGAGTGTTTCAAATATGTGAAACTGATTGTTCCAAGGTGTGAAATTGATTATTTCAATATATAAAACTAGTTCAGTCAAATACATGGTGCAATATTTAGTGTTCTTGGGAAGATGCTTATTACAATTTGTGAAACAGTTTTTTTAATTGAAATAGATTTTTTTATTTGGGTTTCACTCTAACATGTTTTGTGAAATGTATGCTCTGAAATTTAAATGCCTTTTCTTACATTGATGTTTTGAAATATTAAATTTAGTTTTTTGAAAAAAATTGAAATCATTTTTGAAATGAAAATAGCTTTTGAAAATAATTGAAATTTGTTATTATTGAAAAGTATCATATTAGTTTTTTCCAAATAACTTGAATATGTTTCACGAAAGAGTTGAAATCATCTTTTGAAATGATTGAAACCGGATTTTTCAAATCAGTGAAATAGTTTTCATAATGCGTGAAAGTAGTTTTATGAAATAATTGAAATGTCCTTTTTTAAATATGGGAAATGGGTTATTTCAAACATGTGAAACTGGTTGTTTTTATTTCTGAAATTGATTATTCCAAATATATGAAAAGGTCAATTTTCAGATATACAAGACATATTTAACATGTGAAACTGATTATTTCAATGCATAAAATTGGTTATATTTGAAATTACTATTTCAAGTTTTGAAAAACTTTGGATTATTTTGCATATTTTTAAAATAAAAAAAGTAAAAAAATTATGAAATGAAATTAAATTAGATGCGATAAATATATATTTAATTGGTAAGTACATTAGCTTAAAGTGTAAATGATGCATATGCAGGATTCTTCTAAGATAACGCATGGTGGGGCCTGGCCAGAAATATGAAGGTGGAAACCCTAGTAAAGAAGTGGAAACCTAGTAGAGAAGTGGAATACACTAGATACCTGGTCCATATAAAGCTAGCTTGCAATACCCTATTGGTGCATAGCTCACTATTAGCTAGCTGGTAGCACTCTATTTGGTGCATATCTCACCAATAGCTACCAGAATCGCTAGATTTACCAATTCCAGAAAAGAACCCTTATAGTACAAGAAAATGCCCTTCCAACTACCGGGTACCATTGGAAGATACACACTTCCGGTATCTCTTCCATTAAAAGTTCTGTTAAAATATCGATGGGTACCTTCATTAATATTGATCATGCTTTCAGCAACCGATGCATTTGGGACCAAAATTACCATAAGAAAATCAAGATTTTTAGGTGGTACTTGGACAATTCGACTGAACATAGAAATGTTCCTTGCAGCGTGTAAAGGCACGAGCGCCCTTGGCTTTGGATACATCTAATTGCAAATGATAGCTCGGGCTAAGTTCGCACCATTTGGATGACAGTCCAGCAGTAACATGATTTGTGAGCCATGTAATGTTATTAGCAGGTGGTTTTATTCACACCTATTCTTCCTGTATGATATTTCGAATCATGTAACTTTTACAAAATAAAATAGTTGTCTGGCAGGAAATATTCCCCCCTTTTAAGGGAAAACTTGTGTGGTTATCCGAGCAATCACTACTTCCACAACGCTATGCATCTCAGTGTTTCTAACTACTAGTACCATTTCCCCCCTCGTTTTGCTAGCCACAGCTCCACCTGTTACGATCACTTCATTTTTGTCCCTAACTTTCTTTCAGTCCGGAGTTAGCAACAGGTGAATAATTACCTCGATGATTTGGACCGGATACGTGGCAGGGGAACAGAAGGCACCATTT